AAGTTTCTGATTTAGGCAAGTAACTTTCAGATCCATGGTTGAGACATCTGAGGTTTGCATTTGTTTCTGTTCACTATGAAGATAGGACTTTTCGCAGTTTTCCGCAGCAGAATAAAGCTGAGGCCTCAAGTTCTTGAGTTCCTGCAGGGCCTTGACGAAGCTCTTGCTGCGCTCCATGGAGATCTCGTCAAAGGTCATGGCAGGGCGGTGCTGCTCCAGCTCCATTTCAAACAGAATTAATTTTCGGCGATAAATTACTGCAAATTGCAGGAAGGCGATGCAATTAAATATGTAATTACAGCGGTGGGGTTAGATTTGGGGGTTAGATATCGCGGTGGACGATCTTCCGCCGGTGGAGATAGGCGAGGCCGCTGAGGATTTGCCTGGCCAAATTGGAGAGGGCCTTCTCGTTCCCGATGTGCTCGAGCAGGACCTGGATCTCACCGTTGTGGTCGAACAAGTCGTGGCACTTGACGACGTTGGGTTTATCGACGTTGCGCAGGATTTCGATCTCGCGGCAGATCTGGCGGAGGGTTTCGATCTCGTGGTTGCCGTAAATCACCTTGAGCGCGTAAAGACGGCCCGTGGGGCGGTGGATGACCTTGTAGACGGTGGAATTTACAAAGTTATCGGGCAGATTGAAGCAGAACGTCCAAATCCTTGTCGAACAGCTCCTTCATCACTATCCCTTCGAACTCGTTGAACCTTAGATCCAAGAATTTGAGCTTCGGCAGTTGGAGAAACACTCGAGGGAATTTTTTTTTTCAGCAAAACAATTGTTGCTCAAATCGCGCTCGAACAGCAGCTTGAGGCGATTGAACTTGTGGGGAACAGTTCCACAGAACCTGTTGGAGTCGATGTGGAACTATGCGAGATCCGTGAGCAGCCCGAGCTCCTCCGGCAAGTACCTAGTAATGTCGCCGCCGCGTCTCGATGCCTGTGGTCTGCCTTCTACTGCTGTTGGTTGAGCAAGGGAGTGGATTGAGAGAGAACATGCCTGAGCTTAGATTTGGGCTACAGCACCTGTAATACCTCTCTGGGATAAGGTGAGCCTTTGATGGATTTTGGGCCGCACTTTCTCCAAGCCCAAGAATCGGACGGTTGCGGAGTGTTACTGTGGGCTGATGGGGTTTCAGAATGATTTTTTTTTTTTTTTTTTTTCGAAGAAACTGTAGTTTAATTTTGTACAAAATTTTCTTAACAAAATAAATTTGTAATGAAATTGACCTTCTTTAATAAAACATTTATTCTTTTGATTTTGATGTGACTGAACTCGAAAAATTGAACATTCGAGCTGCCTACGTACCCCTCCAAAGAAGGGATCAAGTCGAAACGTAGTTCAAATGAGTGATGAATTTAACAATGATTTTAATGATGATTTTGCCGTACACAGTTTATGCTCTTGCGGGCCAGGAGCTTTGGTTCGTGCAGTTTAGGCTCGTGCGAACAAGGAGCATTGTGTCTTGCAGTTTAGGCTCTTACCGACAAGGAGCTTTTGGTGAATTTGTCAAGCAATTTTGGAGAGGCGTTCCTCACAATCTTCATAGCAAGGAGCCTTGATCGAGTGATTGAAGAAGTCTTCGAGCAAGAAATCACGCATCGTGATGGGGATGGACGATCTATACGTCGAAATTTCATCATCTTCAACACGTTCACGTTGCTTTGAAGGTTGACAAGAGCTGTTTTGCCCCCTTTCCGATTGGCGAACTTGTGGAGGAGACGTATGCTTCTTGTGCAATTTCTTCGGAGTGACTTGAGTCCATCCTTCAACTTTGCTTGTCTTGGAGGATGCCCCCAGCGGTTGAGGTGAAAACTTTGAGTCGGAAGAGCTAGAAGTGAAGGTGGTATAGTTTGACTTCACCACATCGTCAAGATCTAGCTCGATGATTTCTTTCTGAGCCAGCTTCATGATGAGATCTTTCAGCACGAAGCACTTTTCTGTCGGATGACTGATGAAGCGATGGAATTTACAGTATCTTGGACTGTCAGTACGATTCATCTCTTCCGGCCGTCTGCACTCAGGCAAACTGATCACCTTCTTGTCCAACAGGTCATCTAACATGGCAACCACATCAGAGTCGGGGAATGGATAAATCTTCTCCTCAAGCTCCTTCAAAGTGCGTCTACGCATCTCTTGATCACGAAAAGCTTCGGTTTGAATCGCCTTGCCTCGTGTGGATATTTTGACGGGAGCTGTGTTGACCGTCATCGCTTCCTTGGTGGGTTTCCATGCGGCCTTTTCCACCTTTGTCCCAAGAACTTTGTCGTTCTTGTAGTCGGCGATCGGTTCTTTCTTCCCATGATGGGCGATGCTCAACTCCATGTCATGGGCGCGAGTAGCCAATTCCTCGAAGGTCCGCGATTTAATGCCTTGAAGGATGTATTGCAAACCCCATTGCATGCCTTGAATACACATCTCGATTGAAGAAATCTCGGAGAGTCTGTCCTTACAGTCGAGGCTTAGATTACGCCATCGGTTGATGTAGTCCATGACTGGTTCTTCCTTCCATTGCTTCGTGCTCGTCAGCTCTAGCATGCTCACAGTGCGGCGGGTGCTATAGAAGCGGTTGAGGAATTCCCGCTCTAATTGCTCCCAGCTGTTGATGGACTCGGGCTCTAGGTCCGTGTACCACTCAAAGGCATTTCCTTTCAGAGAGCGCACAAACTGCTTGGCGAGGTAGTCTCCCTCCGTCCCCGCGTTGTTGCAAGTTTCAACGAAGTGGGCAACGTGCTGTTTCGGGTTTCCCTTTCCATCAAATTGCATGAACTTTGGTGGTTGATAACCCCTCGGCATCCTTAAGGCGTCGATCTTCTTTGAATACGGCTTTGAGTACAACCCGGAGGTATTTGAGCTCCCTTCGTACTGTGCTTTGATGGTGTTGGTGATCATCTCTTGCAGCTGCTGGATAGAAAGAGATCCCATGAGTGCCGCTGCTTGGTCTGGCTCCGGCTTCGCATCGTTTTTTCTCCACCTGAGGCTCATCTTCTGGGTTAGGGTTCTCGTCGTCCTGTGGCTCCAGTCGGCTGACGAGTTGCAGCGATTTGCAAGTCTTTTTCTTTCCACAGTTCGGGTTAGCCTTGCGATTGCTTCATTCATCTGAGCCAGTTGTTCTTCAACGGAGGTAACGCCGATAGTCATGACTTGTGCGACCAATAGACGTGACTTTCCTTTAGACATCCAGGATGCTGATGAAGAATGTCGTTGGCTGCTTTGGGATGTCATCTTATGTGCCTCAGCATCATGATTCGGTGCCTCCAGCAAGGTCAGGTTGATGACAGACTCACACCTTGGATGCTCCCCTTGCTCTTTTAGCGGCACCAATTTTGAAGTGGCATGTTGAGGAGCGGTCGTGGCGCCAATGGATTGTCCGTTTGCGGCAGAAGTGCTTAGGATCCTTCCCTCAGTGGTTGCAAGAACGGCTTGTCCCTTGCTTGATGCCATTGACTTTGAGGTGTGCTTGGAACGGAGAAAGAGATGAGAGGTAGAGATTGTCCCACTGGGCGTGCCAATTTGTAAACACGGAAAATTCCTGAAACGAAAGAGACAAGAACGAACGCGCACAAACAAATATTTGTGTTTGATGATTTTGGGTTACAATCTCTCTCTATTTTGATCCTCTGATTCGATCTCCGTAAGGTGTTGATTGGTGGGTGTTTCGTTGATCCAAGGGCCGTCGAGGCTTAATCTTGGATGAACAGTTGGAAGTTTCTTCAAAGGGGCGTGGGCTTGATCTTTGAAGGTGGATTTGAGCGGATCTTCAAGGGCTTTTGGGCTTGATCTTGAAGAAACAGTGATGAACAGATCTTCAAGTGCTTTTGGGCTTAATCTTGAAGAACGGTTGGATGTGTGGATTTGTCGACGTTTGTTGATCCAAAGGGTCGTTGGGGCTTGATCTTGGAAGAACGATGAACGAAGAACACTTTCTTCAAGGGCCGTCGGGGCTTGATCTTGAAGGTGGATGATTGTTGATCCAAAGGGCCGTTGGGGCTTGATCTTGGATGAACGGATGATGAACGATGGTGCTTTCTTCAAGGGCCGTCGGGGCTTGATCTTGAAAGAGCGATGGACGAAGAACGAAGAACGAAGAGAGCTTTCTTGATTCTTCGGGAACCTGGATGCTTGAGAGCTTCGGAGTTTCAGAGCTTCAGAGCTTCAAGGTGTAATATGAATTGGTTCCCCTTAAATGAATGAAATGGGCTTGTATTTATAGAAATTTCCAAGGCCTAATTTTGAATATAATATTCCAGATGAAATAAGTTGTTTCTGCCAGGTGTTGACACGTGTCCTATTTGATGACTTTTCCAACTCATTTCAATTTTCGTTGGGCCACACGCTACGTGTAAAATTTATGTAATACATGAGCGTTGACACTTTGATTTATCGGTCAACATTTATTTACCGAAATTTCGATGTCTACAATAACATTTGGCATTTAGCCTAAAATTTTAACATGGGTTAGAGAGTGTTTGGGGGGGGGGTAATTTGGCTTTTAGCCCAGATTTGGAGATGGTCTTAGAGTAGAATATAGTTTACATGTAAATTATGAAGAAGTTATAAGTAGCTAGGGAGGGGGGAAAATAAATCTCAAATTGTTTTTCACAAGGAATATCAGGCAACATTCTGAGAGTAAAGTTGATGGGCCACTTGTCATAAATAAATCATAAATAAAAACTGCAATCATGTTTTATAAAATTATAAATAAATAAATAAATAAAAACCTAAAAAAATAAATAAATTAGTGGCCGTGAATGTCAAGGAAGCAATGATGTAAATTTTTGCCAATAGATGACGTGACTAAGAAGTAAGTCTCCTATCCAACTTTATCGGATTAGGATTCCTAGTTTATTTCTATGATTTATCTTTGTTTGCACCTGCATGTATTGAAAAATCTAAAAATTAATGCCGGCTATATATATATGTATAGACGTGTGTGTATTTATATGTCCATGCCATATGTAGGATCTGTTGCAAAGCTCTTTCAACTCTTATAATCAAAACAATGAGTATAGATGATCTACCCGATAGCCTATTGGCTGAAATCCTATTTCAACTTCCTTGCGAATCCGTTACTAGATTCAAGTCCGTGTCGAAGCGTTGGCTCGCCCTAATTTCTGATCCTTCTTTTGTTAATCTGACAAGAGGTACTTTGTTTTTCCAATCCGAATTTCAACACGAAACGGAAAATTTTACCATGTCTGTGGAGCATTCGGGTGTCAAATCACGCAGTTTCTCTTTGAGTTTCGTCCCCTGTTATCAAGAGCCAATAAAAACTGATGATGGTGGTCCGGTTGTGGTAGGGACGCATAATGACTTAGTTTTGTGTTGTGCAACCCGATGCCATCAACGCGAGTACTACATCTGTAATCCACACACGAAGCGATGGGTTGGTCTTCCTCCAGCACCTCAATGCCAGTTTGCTTTTGTGGAAGTAGGATTCTTGTGTGATGCAGACTATAACAAGAAGGAAGACGATAAAAGAAAACACAGCAGTAGTATCTTTAATGCCTATGAGTATAGGTATGTGGTTGTGAGAATTTTACACACGCTCCCGTGCAGTACCCGAAAATTCGAGGTGGAGATATTCTCTTCTGAAACTGGTGAATGGAGAAAGTCAGTCGTATCATACTCATCAGGAATTAAAGGTTATGGAGCGTCTGTTTTTTGTGGACACTCAATTGCGTACAATGGAATGTTGTATTGGCCTGGTTATCTTGGCGTAGTTGCTCGGATGGATCCGTTCAACAAGAACAGTACTACTAGTACTGGTGTTGGTGATATCACTATTGATAAATTTCGTTTCACGGCATTTGATAAGCGTGTAGACGATCACATTAGTACTGAACACTACCGCTTAGGCATGTGTCAAGGGCGTCTGCGTATGTGCCATGTGTTTGTTCCCCTAGTTCCCCGTTGTCCAACAAAATTAATTCTGAGTATTTGGGAGTTGAAAGAAGAAGAAGAGACGGCCGCTGACGGGGGAGAGAAATGGTGTTTGATAGAGAGGGTCTCCACGGACCAAATGGTTTCAGAAGATCCACCGATTACTAAATGGCTAAACAGCTGGAAAGATTGGTACGTCAACGTGCTAGGTTTAGACCCAAATAATGAAGAAATCGTGTATCTCCATGTGCTACAACTAATTGTGATCTGCAACATCCGCACAAGAACATTAAAGATAGCAAGAAGGGGTGCGGCTCCTCCTTGGATAGAATGCTTCCCTTTCGAGCTCCCCTGTTGGCCAACACCACTTACTAATTTGCCATGAAATTGTATCTTCTGCTAGTTTTATTTGATTTGTTCTAAAGTATTTTTGGGTCATATAGAATGAAATATTTTATTTACTTTGGGTAAAGATAGATATGGAATGAAATATGTAGTAGCATTACATAACGGTGTATCTAACAATAGAATTTCTACTAAAATAATAGATGGGTACTATATATGCTTGTGCAATGTACAATTAGCTTATAAATTATTGTTACTAAAATCATTGGCGATGTGGTGAACACTTGCAAACTTGAATTGTTTCTTGGACTTTTCATACAATTTTTATGAGATGTCACCTCATAAAAAAAATTTAAAAAAAATAGTTTTTGAGTGAGAATCTAAGTAACATGTTGGCATGCGTTCGTTGAAATTCACCAACTGGGTCTCTCTCTTCTTTCTGGGTTTTGCTTTCTTCCGCTACTTTTACACTTCCCAATTCTCTTCTCCTCGAATTATGGCTGAAGAAAGTTCCAAATCTGTATACGAATTCACTGTCAAGGATGTTCATGGTAACGACGTAAATCTGAGCGAATACAGTGGCAAGGTGGTTGTTATGGTGAATGTTGCTTCAAAATATTTAACACAATCAAACTTCAAGGAATTAAGTGTTTCGTATGGAAAGTACAAAAACAAAGATTTTGAGATTTTGGCGTTTCCTTGCAACCAGTTTGCAGGACAAGAGCCAGGAAACAATGAGGAGATTGAAAGCTGAATTTCCACTCTTTGACAAGATTGTGGTGAATGGGAAGAACGAGGTACCCCTTTACAAATTCTTAAAGGGGCAGAAAGGTGGGATATTTGGGAGTGGCATCCAATGGAACTTTAATAAGTTTTTGGGTAACAAAGAAGGAAAGGTTGTGGAGAGATATGCTCCTGTGACATTACCTATTAAAATAGAGAAAGACATCCAGAATTTGTTCGAATCTTCTTGAGTATCAAGGACAGCAGGAAGTGTATGGTTTGGCATCCAGAAAATAAAACGTGTTTGCAGATGAAGAAAATTATCAGAGCATAAAAGATCGATGTGTAAAGTTTGATTAGACTACAAATTGTTAGACCAAGTCAGACTTCCCATTTACATTCAAACTCTCAAGTCTATTGTGTGCGTGATTCTTCTTTATCTCAAAGGGAGTCTGATAAGTCTAGGAATATTTTGAATGTTTCTTAGATAAGTTTATTATGCTGTTGTAAAGTTTGAATTTCAAACTAGAGTGTAAATAGGGTATTTCAAACCCACTGATGTAATCTCTATGACCTTATAAATACAAGCAACCCTCGATTGAAAGGGTGTGCAAACACAACTGAAAACCTAGCCTACTAAAGTTTTACATGGTATTGAGCCTAATTGTCCAACGACAAGATCCTGCAATTTTTTTTTTCCATGGCCGACAACAACAACATAGCTTCTTCCCAGCCAGCCAACTCCACCCCCAACCCCCCCAATCCTCAAATGAATTCCATGAACCCCTTTTCATCCGCTATGACAACTGTTGTGAACATCAAGCTTGATAGAACCAACTACCCACTGTGGTTGGCTCAAATCCTACCAATACTGAGAAGTCGTGATCTGATGTACTATACCCAATTATGAAGTATACCCAATTATGACTGACTTACTGCATGTTGTATTCCAAATTGTCTTAGCTAAATAACATGAAGTATACCTAATTATGACCAACTTATTGCAAGATGTATTCCAAATCCAACTCTCAATATCGCTCTATCGAGCTCAAGTCTGCAAAACTGCGATGGCGCGTTTCAAGCACCTCCCCCAAACTCTTTTGCTAGTGCATTAGTTCTCCATGCAACTCCTCCCCAGCCATATTTGAACTGAATTTTATTCAATATTCTTGGGAAAACAACATAAGGAACATTGTATTAGATTGCATATATGTTTCCTTACACAATTTCATAATGTATATATAGTTGACACTTGACAGAGAATTACCAAATTAATCTACGTCAAATTAACTGAAAGTACATACGCAGTGTGTCCAAATGGACATCATGCATGTTCATTTCAAAATAACAACGGTAGAAGAAAGAGAAGCCAATGGGGGGAAGAAGGATGCAAAATTTTGCCATATTGCTTCTATTTGGTTCGGCGTCGAAGTTCACTTCTCTCTCAATTTCTTGGTTAGGGCAAATATCGCGCCTACTACAGCCACGACCACCGCTGAGATAATAATGCTTTTCTTGAGCGTCTGCGCTGCATCTTTCTTCTCCTTCTCCCTCTCCTTCTCCTTCTCCTTCTGCTGCTTTCTCTCTTCAGCCTCTAATTTGTCCTTGAAAATAAACAGCGCAACATTATTAGCAAGACTGCACTGCATACAGAAGAGAGGCACAAAAGAATACCAAGATTTCCGGACTTTTTTTGTTTACGAAACTTTGTTGCTAAAAGTGTTCGTGTTAGCTTGAAATAAGCTGTTAAAAGGGTTATGAGGTTCACTAATAACTTCACATGTAAGAGTTAATGATTGTATAGCATGGTATTAGAGATTTGGTTACCTAAGATCGTGGGACCAACCTTCAAACCCATCGCGTACTTATCACTTTTCGATAAAACGATTTTCACATTCCACTCTGTAAACTTGCATTCCTCCAGTTATTTTCATGTTTTTCTTTTACACAAAAGAAAAACTAGATACATTCAAAAACTACATCTAACCAAATACAATCAGAGGACCGATGACCCCAAAATTGGCTAAAGCAACAACCGCGAAGTGCACGTTTGTATTCAATTATCAATAGCATCACAGTATGGTGAGGAGTGCAAGCCTACAAAATATGATTGCGGAAATCACTATTTATTCAATATGATTGTATACGCACAACGCTAATAAGACTGATTACAAACTTTTAATTATAAAAAATAAATAAATAAATAAACAACTACGGAAACCAAAAGAAATCAACAAGAAACGGGATATATATAAACGACATTTTGTGCTACCTCAATTAAGTCCTAGTATTCACGAGTTATAGTATTTATTAAAAGTTTGTGATTCTGTACAAGTATTTGAGAATACAAAAATTCAAGCGTTGAAAAAAATCACCTTGATTTCCTTGGAGGTAGTTACTAGAGACGATCCACTGTCTTCCTCAAAGTTCTTGTTAGTTCCTGGATTCAATTCTGCATCCACATTAGCTGCTGGAAATGTCGAATCCGCCATTTTCTTTGCAATTTCTTTCTTTCTTTCTTTCTGTGTGTTCTTTCTCCTTTCTTTCTACGGCGGTACGAAGGGAAGGGAGGAGAGACTCGAGAGATATCAGAAGCAGAAAGAGAGAGAAGATGTGAGGCAGAGACACGTGTCAGTAGCTTTTTTCTTGGAACACACGTGTTGATTTCTTTAGGTTGAGGTGCAACGGTTTGTCATGTTTTTCTGAGTCTTTTAATTTAACTAGCCTACTTTCTTGTTTTGTCGTAAACTGTCCTACAAATCCACCCGTGACTCGTTCTAGGCCTATCCGCATTTGGAGGGTGAAGGGACGAGAGATTGTTGCGTAGAGGAAAGCCCTTGGTCACTACTCACTAGTCATCCAAGACACAAATAAATTCAGACATTTGGTTCCTCTTGTGTTCGTCTAGAGCGAATGAGTAATCTTAGCCATTGAACAAGGATTCAACGACTGAGATTTTAGAACATGACATGAGCCGATTTATTCTTAGAAAACCCCACAATTTAGGTTTTTGAATGGGAAGATGATCATCTCCGGATTCATTTTAGGATCTTCACATCTTAGCCGTTCATCGTACATCGTGCGGTCAGTTTTCGTCAGATACTATTTGTGTTTAATTTTAAATAAAAAAAATCAAATGATTTCTGACTGCACGATATAAGATGAATGACTAAGATGTGGGGATCCTAAAGTGGATCTGGAGAGGATCCTCTTTCCATTCAAAAACCTAAATTGTGGGGTTTTCTAAGAATAAATCGGCTCATGTCATGTTTTTGAATCTCAGTCGTTGAATCCTTGTTCAATGGCTAAAATTTTTAAACCATAATGACCGATTCATTCTAGAATTTAGCTAAATTGTTACTTATAACTAATTTTTTTCAATATTTTACTTCACTTTGATATGAATTGAACAATAAATGGGGCTTTTTATATCACTACAACTATAAGGAGACGATATGTAAAATCAGTTAAGATTTAGATATTTGCTACCAGAATGCTTAGGCAGGTGGGCGAAATCTAACTATTGATGCATTGTGGACTCCACTAACATCATCGATATCAATGGTCATGAATCGCACACGGAAGTGGACGAGTGACGTCATAAGGAGTGTTGCAACGCAACATGCAAGAATTTTCCATTAATACAAAAAACAGATGGCGTACAGAAAAAGTGAATATACAATGAGCTTGATACATGGCCTACAGCAATCATGGAGAATATGTAATATACTTGTAGAGTTGTACGCAAACATATCTCTTAGAGTGTAAAATACTGAGAACACGAATCTCATTGACATGAACTCCCGCTAGCTATGCTCGTTCAGTTTCCCCCTCCGAAACCACGAGGACCGGGCCGAGATGCCGAGCCAACAAACTGCCTTCTCGAATCAGATCGTCGTTTCCGCCTTGCAGTGCCAGGAGGAGCCTGACAAAGGAAGAATTCCAAACCGTAAAAGATGTATCCACCATGCAACAACAGTCTATGAAAAATGAATAAAAGCTGCCAAGTGCGCGGCAAAACTAGATGGCAGGGACATTTTATACAGTTCATTAGCATGGCATATAAATTACCGAGAGCGAACAAAAGTAATGGAAAGTGAAGCACCTTTTGTTCAGTTTTGAGAGATTCTTCAAGATTGTTCAGTGCAGGAATAGAGCCGCCTTCCATTACACCCATTAGATTCTTCATACGAACTCGCATTTGGAAGAGTTGAGCAACAAGTTGGCTCACCTGATATTGACATCATTAAGAACATTGCAGTTATATGTAGTAGCAGCAGCTGATTGTGAAAAACAAATATACATTCAACATCCGCAAGCCCTTTTTACGGGGAAGCTGATATGGGGACACTTAAACCGTAGGTAGCCATTGCACATACCTGCTGCTCTGTTTTCCCGGACTCTTGAGCAACTCTTTTTCTCCTGGTTGAAGATTCTGCCAACAACTCTGGCTTCTCCTTTTCCTCTGTAATCAAAGATGAGAATCAGAAAGCCATATATAACCCGCAGCGCACCATGAAGCAGCAGTATTTTCATTAAATGGTAGTTTCAATAAATCAAAAGGAATAAGATACCGGGGGTCATCACTTCAATCATTGCTTCCATTATCTTCAAACTCTTCTCTGCTTCTCGAATTTGTGCAGGAGTAACCTGTTCAGTCAGGCAAATTGGAAAGTTCTAAGAATTAAATAAAACCAAAATAAGGAACCCGCTGGATCTCAGCAACTATTGAATTTCAGGTCATAACTGTATGTGTACCGAATCAAATACAACCTCCTAAAAGTAAATACACAGAATGGAACCAAACAGCCTTTCATACCTTGCCCATGCCAGGGATCATTCCAAGAACACGAGTCATGGAACCCATGCGTGCAACAGCACGAGTTTGTTTTAGGAAATCATTGAAATCGAACTTTGCACTCATTATCTTCTTTTGCAAGTCTTCAGCATCTTCTTGTTTCATCTATATTGACAACTCAATTAGAACTCATATAAATATTCAGGGAATCTGGGTGTGGAATTTACAAAGAGGAATAAAACCCCACTCACAACTTCTTGCGCCTTTTCCACAAATGAGAGAACATCTCCCATTCCTAATATGCGTCCCGCCATACGGTCTGGGTAAAAAGGTTCAAGGTCCTCCATCCTCTCTCCTCGCCCAACAAGTTTGATTGGCTTTCCTGATACCTGACATTAACTCATTATTAGGAAAACAATTAAAGAAAAGTATTTGAGTAGCTTAACTATTTTAGCAAGAAGAGATGCTTCAAAACGCAACTACGTCATCTGAATGCTATAGAGAAATGCAAACATGAATAATATTGAATACTATTGAAAACAAAATTCTTGATAAATTATACAAACTTCAATATCATAAGTGATTCTTCCTCTAGAAAGAGTTAATTATCTATTCCCTTGAGATTTTCAAATCATGGTTTATACCATAAACGTTTATTTTTAGCTTCGTACTCACTCGAAATTTAATGATGAATAATAAATGGGGCAGAAAAAATGAGATTACTATGACAAAACAAGTAAGGCAACAACAAGCAAACCTCTTTAACACTCAAAGCTGCTCCACCTCTAGAATCCCCATCTAGCTTTGTTAAAATAGCTCCAGTAATCCCAATCTCTACGTTGAATGTTGTAACTAAAGCTGCAAACTCAAAGAAAATAGTCAGCTTACTTCTACAAGTATTCATAATTTGGTTTGTGGCATGGTAACATTACATTTTTGAAACAATGATCACTTGAATTGCGTCAATGCGTATTCACACACTAAGAACATCAAATGACATGCAAATTGATGACATATGATACAAATTAACAATTGAGTTTACGAATCTCATAATTCAGTTCAGATGGTATGAATTTGGTTTTTTATCTCGAACATTAAGTAGAGCAACCAATTTCCTAACTCTTATGTGTACATGAAATTGCAGATAGATCATATTTCTTTTCCTAAGTGGGTACAGAGATATGATCCACAAAAACTACCAAAACAAAGATTACAGTAAAAAACCATGCTTGTTCTTCTTCTCTGTCTAGTTTTGCAGCAATAACCAAAGAAAGGGAAAGAAAATAGAATCTGTATATTTGGGTGATTAAACTTGAAAATACATCAAAAATTGAACTATAAGCCTGAAATCTGAACACCTGCAGCTTCTTGGCCAGTCATTGCATCCACAACAAGCAAAACTTCTGTGGGATTCAAAACCCGCTTAACTTCTTTCAGCTCATCCATCATTCCTTTGTCTATCTGATAAACAGAAGAAAACAAAAGCATAAAGAAACTCAAGACAAAGTTAATATAACCAGCATACGTTCTCAAAATATCATCACAGAATTACACAAAAATGACATTCGTAAAAGAATTACCTGAAGCCTTCCAGCAGTATCCATTATTACTACATCTATGTTCTTCTTTTTGGCCTCCGCTAAACCTTGCCTAGCTATTTCTGAAGGTTTAGTGTCAGTCCCTGCTGTATACACAGGCACTTTTACCTGTTTCAAGCTTCAACTTTCACATAAGAATGAACGCCGACCAAAAACTTAGAACATAAGAGTTTCTCTGGAAATGTAAAGTCGTTCACTTTATTGGCAATGCAAATCGCATACCTGTTCACCTAAAATTACAAGTTGGTCAATAGCAGCAGGTCTGTATACATCACCAGTGACAAGCATAGAAGTCTTCCCCTGTGAGTGGTGTATGTCACGGGGTCAGAAAACGGAAAAAAAGAAAAGCAAAAAAATAAATTTTGCATAGCTCCAATGCATATAATAATGGTATGGAAGTGGGATATGCTCGTGGAAATGCACCTGTTTCTTAAGGTAATTAGCCAATTTTGCGCATACAGTCGTCTTCCCAACTCCTTGTAAGCCAGCCAATAAAATAACAGTGGGACCAGATTTTGCAAAGGTAAGTTCAGACACCTCTCCACCCATCAGTTTCACTAGCTCGTCATTCACAATCTGAAAGAAGCCGCAATTGACTATCATAATGCATTAGGAATCGATGCTTCAAATAGACTACCTAGCTTTTCCTTGAAAAGCAAGAGAATCCTGTATCGCTATATTGAAGAAAGTTGAGGTTCCACCATAAAACCAATTGGCAATAGGGGAGTAGCCCAACCTCTTATAAGCCCATGCAAGGTCCCTCCTCCCATCAATGTGGGACTCATTCTCAACATATACAGTGTGTGAAGTTACCTTGACCAATTGCTGATCCGGCTTCACTCCTCGAATAACTCCGACACCAACAGCCTGGTCACTGACAGCTTGCACAAACCTTCTTACAACAGGAAGGCTCACATCAGCTTCCAAAAGAGCTCTCCTTATATCTCTCATAGGCTCCGCAATATTCTCCTTAGTCAAAACCTCTGCAGTACAAAAACCCAGTGATCGGTGCGATCATGCTACGGAATTTTAAAGGGTTTTTTACATAGAAGCCTTGATAAAATTACACTTTAGAGAAAAACACTTCAAGGCCAATACTTTAGAAAGTAAAAATAAATCATGCCGACTCTTCAATTCGAGAAGCGCATAGATGAAATTTGTCCACCACTAAGAATCAATTAGAAAATGAAAAGTGACTCGTTGAAGGGTTTTTCTCCTCTCCAATTTAACTCTGTAAGGGCTCATTTGGGACTGCTTTTGTAGGAAGCACTTCTGCTCATAAGTGCTTCTTCTACAGGTGCTTTTATTATAAGCATGCAGAAAAACTTCATTATAAATCCAAGTGCTTCCTGGAAAAACATTTGGAACTTTAACTCTGTAAGGGCTCATTTGGGACTGCTTTTGTAGGAAGCACTTCTACTCATAAGTGCTTCTTCTACAGGTGCTTTTATTATAAGCACTGAGAAAAACTTCATTATAAATCCAAGTGCTTCCTGGAAAAACATTTGGAACTTGGAAGTGCTTTCAAAGAAGCACATAGGAAGTGCTTTCAAAGAAGCACATAGGAAGTGCTTCCAAGAAGCACATAGCAAGTGCTTCCAAGAAGCACATAGCAAGTGCTTCCAAAGAAGCACATAGCAATAGCAAGTGCTTTCCAGAAAGCGCTTCTACATTCCAGTACTGTTTTTGGCTGTTAAAAAACAACTTTAACCCTTCCGGAAGCAATCCCAAACAAGTGCTTTTTAATAGAACTCACTAGACCCTAGAAAATTTGATTCAAAATTTTAAATCGTAGAAGGAAAAAAGAAGTTCAGAAGAAGCAAACCTTCGCCTTTGAGCTTGCTCCAAGCCGATTCGAGCCCACTCGTCAACTGGCCAAACATTTCAGCCCTCACAATCCCCCGCAACTCCTTCCGAGCAATCGTAACTTGCTTCGAATTCACCCAACCCCATATCTCCCTCTAACAACAATTCACCAAACACAAATTTATCAGCAAAAAAAAATGTACGAAACTTTCAGTGCCGATTTCAAATTCCATATTATTTTCCTGCGTTTTCTCGGAAACCAAACAAGATTTGAGGACATACAGTGAACAAGTTTCTAGAAGTGAGCCAAGCTGGGTTGCCAGAAGCAGTCCAGGATGATCCCAGCTTGACCGCCGGACTCCTCGCCGCCGCGTACTTGGAACCGGAGAAGCCTCTGTTGGTGGACACGGAATGCGACGCCGTAGACAAGTGGCGGGAAGCAACGGTCGAGAAATGTACGGCTTCCATCGCCGTTGAGATTTTTCTTTTTCTGGTCTTTCGGGCCAAAGCTGGTCACTCTATCCAATCCAAGCCTGCTATCTAGTTCGTTTGGGTGATAAAATGCTTCGCGGACCACCGCAATTACCATGGACCCTTCAGCATCACGTGCCCTCTTAAATCGATCACGTGCAGCAACGCTTTGAATTGGCTTACACGTATTTTGCAGTGTAAGCTGCGAGCGTTACCCGATGTGGGAGTCTTCTTGGAACGCTCGATTACGAGAGCTATCGAAGCAATGTCTCTTCTTCGAAGCTCTTACTGTTTACCGCCAAATGCTCCGCCGTGGCCACTCGCCCAACGCCTTCACTTTCCCCTTCGCTCTCAAATCCTGCGCCGCGCTCTCGCTTCCTTTGACCGGCTCGCTCCTCCATTGCCACGTGCTCAAAACCGGCTGCGAACCCGAACCCTTTGTGCAAACTGCTCTCGTTTCGATGTACTGTAAGTGTTGCTTGGTTGACGATGCACGGAAGGTGTTCGATGAAAATCTCCTCTCGATGAAGCTGACTGTTTGCTACAATGCGTTGATAGCTGGGCACACTTCGAATTCGAGATTTTCTGACGCGGTTTTGTTGTTTCGTCGGATGAGGGAGGCGGGCGTGGCGGTTAATTCAGTTACGATGCTGGGTTTGGTTCCTGGGTGCGCTGCTCCGGTGTATTTGGGGCTTGGGATGTGCCTTCATGGCTCTAGTGTTAAGTGCGGCTTCGACATTGATTCGTCTGTGACGAATTGTTTGCTGACTATGTATGTGAAGTGTGGGTCGCTTGATCATGCAAGGAAGCTGTTTGATGCAATGCCTGAGAAGGGTTTGATTACTTGGAATGCGATGATTTCCGGGTACGCGCAAAACGGGCTCGCTACTCATGTTTTGAGCTTGTATAAGGAGATGGAGTCTTTTGGTGTTTGTCCTGATCCTGTGACACTAGTTGGTGTTCTTTCGTCTTGCACTCACCTTGGTGCACAGGGCATTGGACGTGAGGTAGAACGGCGGATAGAGTCTTGCGGATTTGGTTCTAATCCGTATTTGAATAATGCCCTGGTTAATATGTACGCTAGGTGTGGTAATTTAGTGAAGGCTCATACTATTTTCGATGCCATGCCTCAGAAAAGCTTGGTTTCCTGGACGGCGATTATAGGTGGGTATGGGTTGCATGGACAAGGAGAGGTTGCGTTGGAGCTCTTTGACAAAATGGTTATGACCAGAATTAGACCTGACAAAACTGTTTTCGTGACTGTTTTGTCTGCGTGTAGCCATGCGGGATTGACTGATAGGGGGTTGGAGTATTTTGCTGCGATGGAGAAAAGATATGGATTGCAGCCTGGTCCAGAGCATTACTCTTGCATGGTAGATCTTTTAGGTCGCGCAGGTCGACTCAAGGAAGCCAAGGAGCTAATTGAGTCCATGCCGGTAAATCCTGATGGTGCAGTATGGGGTGCCCTCTTAGGTGCCTGTAAAATTTATAAAAACGTAGAGCTGGCAGAGTTAGCATTTGAGCATGTCGTCGAGCTTGAGCCAACCAATATCGGTTACTATGTGTTGTTGTCGAATATATACTCCGATGCGAAGAATCTAGAGGGGGTTTTGAAGGTTCGAGTTATGATGAGGGAAAGGAAGCTCAAAAAGGAGCCAGGGTTTAGCTATGTCGAATGCAAAGGAACAGTTCATGTTTTCTTGGCTGGCGACAGAACCCATCGTCAGACTGAAGAAATATATAGGATGCTGGATGAATTAGAAAATTTAATGATGGAACCTGGCGTGTCTGATGAGAATGATCAAGGAAGAAACGAAGAGCAATTAGTTCACAGTGAAAAATTGGCAATTGCATTCGCGCTCTTAAATACTGCACCAGGGACCGAAATCGTAGTGATAAAGAACCTGAGGGTATGCGGAGACTGTCATTTGTTCATAAAGTTGGTAAGCAGGATTGTCGATCGCCAGTTTGTTGTCAGAGATGCAACTCGTTTTCACCATTTTAGGAATGGGGTCTGTTCTTGTAAAGACTACTGGTGATATCTCTTCACAGGCGTCTCAAGTCAGCAAGCCGTGGTGAAGAAGCTTAATCATCAAATATTTCCCTGTCATGCTGCTAACTGCGCATCGCAAGGTGTTGAATTTAGTTCCAGTTCAAACAGTTCGAATCAAAAAGGAGGTTTTGGATTCGAAATCATGAGAAAAGTTGAGGTGAAGGTCACTATCTTGGCTTGAATTTCATTACTTATCGGCTTTTGGCTATTGAACACACAAACACAATGACAGAGGACAAGTTTCCTGCAAGCGATGGGCAAATTAATTCGGACAAACTCAGTTCCGATTTAGTGGGTTCGTGGAAATTTTCTGTAACAATACATGGGTTTGAAGTACCAACTGTTCAACAGAATCACTGGCTAGAAAACTTTATACTAGTGGAGCAAGACGACGAAGACAATTCAATCCGCCTATTGGTACAGCCGCATCAGTTCCTGTAACACATTCTTCTTCAACAAACGGAATAGTTCTCCACACTGTCAATTCTATCGGAGCGTTTTCTTTACCTGGAAATTGTTAAAATTTATACTTTGTAGAACTTGCTTCTCAATCGTTTGATTGATCCAAAATAATTATAAAAATTATTAACGAAAAAGAAAACGGAAGATCTCACCTCCAATGTTTTTATGTCTTTCCATGCAAATCGCAGCATAATGAGAGCCGGCCAACTCTAGAAGCGAAAATTGCCAATTTCTCGTGAGGTTCAACACTGATTTCGGATATCTAACAACAGAGTGAATAATCAAATGGAGGTCAAAACTTTCTCAAGATATGTAAAATTGCATGCTAAAACCGATATTTTTTAGACCAGAAGTAATTTTTGGACATGTGAACAGGAGACCTACAATGCTCCGGCTAGATAAATTTTTGTTTACGAGTCTGACATACCTCAGAATTTACATCCCCAGATGAATCGACGCCTCCCTTAGCTGCATCCCTGAATCGAATGGTGAAGGTCTTAAACGGTGAAGCAGAGAAGCCCTTTCCCAATGCTTTCACATATGCCTCCTGGAAAGGAGAAAGGAGATCCATGGCAATAAGAAAAAGCTTGAGAAAAACGTAACCCTAATCCCTTTTTCAATCAGTCTCACAGACCTTGAGAGTCCATAATGTTGTAAACTGTTGACGCTGAATTTCAATGTCCGAAATAGAAGATAAATGTTCCACTTCATGAGAAGAAAAGTACCGTCGAGCAAAAGCTAAAATTTCGTTCTTCAACTTCCGTTGCTTATCTTCCACATCTATGCCAATCTAAAATAAGAATCAATCACATAACTTCCAAATTATAACTTCATCAACAACAATATATATATACACACACACTTGAATACGCCGAATACTTACCAGAGAATCCACAGTTACTCCACAAGCTATCAAGGAAGAAGTGTGCGAGAGGTTGAAATGCAATGGTGGTGGTGGCTGCCAGCCATCAGCAAATTGCCACTCTACCTACTCAAGTAAGCTATAAGAACGATTAAAATTTGCACCAGAAAAAACAAAGAGCTCAAAGAACATGACTGTGAGAAAAACCAAGCCAAGTAAATGCGAGCATAGATGACAACAGTTTTCACTAGACTGGGTAAGAAAAAGAAGCATACCTCAGGCTTCCCATGACTGTTCTTTTTAAAGTTTAAGGATCTCGGATCAACTCGATGGTTTGTCTGATCTAGTATCAAACAAAAGAATGTTTAGATATCCACATTAACCATACAAACAACACAAACAGTCATGTTCTTTAACTTGTAAAAGCAAATCAAAAAGTTGGGGTTACCTCTGAAGAAAGCAATCTAACTTTCCCGCTGCTGGCGTCTACCAAGTACCAACACAAAGAAAAGAAAATTTGCTTTGAGAATTCTTTGAAGGTGCTGTGAGACTGCTAAGAAACATCGACTTTGCTCCGACGATGAAAGCAAAGACGGAGGAAAGGTAGAAACTTGTGGAGGTTTGGGTTCTGGCTCGGCGGGTTTTATGACAAAATATGGAGCGGGGATTTCTTGACCCGATCACTAGTCCCGACTCCCGCTCGCTTTTGTTTGTTTATTTCCCCGCTCCACCCCATCCAGACCGGCTATTCGACGAAAATAATTGAACCGAGTCGATAAAACTCGGTTTGTATGTCAACCCATGTACAATTGATTTTCTTATGAATCCAATATCGGTGTAGAATAGTCACTTAATACTACGGTTAGTGATATTGTTCTTTACTTGTAAGTGAGATATCTTAGATTCAATTCTCGTCAAATAAGAATTTGAACTAGTTAGCTCATTGTGAGCCTTTTTTCAAATGATGTTGAGGCAAACCCAACAAAACAAATCAAATTAGTTCAAGGCCAAGCCTAATAGACCGATCAGACCAAATCCAACTTGACTAAATTAGTAATCTACTTTAATTAAATATCATATAGATATGTTATTTAATACTACAATTTAGTGTATTTATTTTAACTTGTAAGAGAAAAAATTTATATTCGAATTTCGGATGGCAAGTTCGTAACCAATTTATTTCTCTCATCCCTTAATATAAATATATCGGTGTACCAAGATATCGACAGACACTTTTTTCTTTTATGATTATTAATTTATCGAATTGAATTAAACATTTCAATGAAATACATATTTCTAATTTCATTGCTAGTGAAACAATGAATTTTCAACGACTTTCCAACCTCTACTTGAAAATACAGAAAATGTTAGATCGGGTTGGGGAAATGTGTACAAGGGACAAGGTTAAGAAGCTTCATCCACAAACAAATGTAAACACACACATTACATCATACAGACAGACATACACAACATTCCACAGGGGAGAGGAGACACAAACATAAAGCCAAATCTCCCCAACACCCGAAAACACCTCCGAAACACTCTTCAACGCCAACCTTCAGCCAGCTCCGTCCTCGAATTTATGCGGCTAAGAATTCCACTTCTTTTGCTCTTGTCTGCAGTCACAGCAGTTTGAATCAGCAGCTGCTCTTTTACCTTCTTGGGGCCCCTTTTCAGACTCGGACCGCTTGATTGACCACTTTTGCTCTTCCAAATGTTTGGTTGAGCCTCTCTACCTGAACTTGTTAAACCGTCTTCTTGGGGCCCGTTTGCCAAAGGGCTAACTTGGGATACAACCTCACAAGGACAATTATCTGCCAGAAACCAGTTTCCTCCCGGAATGATATTCTTGATAGAAGATAGGAAAGTTTGAGATCCACTTTCAGTTGTTGCCCTTGTGGGATCATTTTGTGTAGAATGAAGGGGGCTCTGTGAATCAGGTTCTTCACCAACAAATACGCCCTCCTCTTCATTTTCCTCGTTAGCCTCCTCGTTGGCCTCTTTGTGATATGGTTGAAGAGTGCTTTGGTACTCATCCTCGTCAGAAGGCTCTAGGTGGGGTATAGGTGCTGTTTCCACCAAAGATTCTTCTCGTTGTTTTAGTGTCTTGACAATAAGAGTCTTGAGGAAATTCATCACTTGGACAGCATACATCAATGCAGTCAAAGGATCTACCATCTGTGAACAATGAAAGTTACACACTTGTTAATAAAAGTAATTTGATGATGGGTGGCTTAAACATACGACAACATGCTGAAGGAAGACTATCACATCACCCTAACTGGAAACTGAAAAAAGATACTGGATGAAGAAATTAATCACACCGCCTATTTATCAGATATGTAATGGTTTTTCCTGGGCGATTCGTAACAAGACTGATTTCCGGCCTTAGAACATACTAAGCTTGTAACAAAATAACCAAGCATTGCAATAAAATCTCCCTCCAAAAACTATACCTCTTTCTTGTCCCATTCTAATTCATTCTAATATCTTCAAGCTTTGAACAAAACTTGCCAAATGCATTCATTATGATAGTCTGATATTTGAGTTAACACATTGGCTCCTACTCTAGTATATAGAACGTGTTGGCGTGGATATCGCTAAAAACAAAGATTATGTATGAAATCGGGGTACTTTTCAGTTTTGTTGTTTTTCTTCTTTTCTACAAACTTAGACGGTAAAGTTTTCACTCACGTGAGTCATGTTTGGTGCAAACACCATGGCAATATTGCGCGCATTCATCTTGTTGAAGTGTTCCATTTGTGCAACATCAGCCATTAGGTTTACTGCCCAATCCAATAACGCAGCTTCTGTTGGAGGTAGGAGCCTAACAAGTTCAGCACACTCCTCTTCCGAGTGGGACTGCATTACCTGCTCTGGTGTTAGAGAGTCCAAAACACCAGTTGGAAGTTCTCGGAACCAGGCCTGAGAAGCAACAGTTCATGAATTTTAACATCAAATGTCATTTTGTGAACTGGAAGCGCTCAAGGATGAGTTCACTTTTGGTTGATTGGGAGAGGGGACATTGATCAATGACAATAAAATGGAACAAAGAAGACGACTAGTCATTAATTAATGATAAAGCCTTACCTTAATAAGACCAGCCAAACAGTGCACGTCAATGCCCTCTGGTATCACTCCCCGATTTAATTGGTCCCTGACGTACTCCTCCTGACTGTTCTCAGCATTAATTCTGAAGATTCCTTCAGCCTGCATGTATGAGTGAACTTCAGTTTTTATTGAAGGTAGTTTGAAACTTTGAATGACAACTAAGTGTCCGAAGTTATGTCTTCTAATTACATTCTATCCTGGACGTGCCGGAAGAAAGGAATATAAGCCAAAGAGTGATATACCTGTAGACCCCCTTGTGCATACAAATGTCTCTGCATCAAAATGAGTATTGTTGGGACGCTGTTCCCTCTGGCATCAAATGAAAGCTGCATAGACTCCGTTGAGACCCCAAAAACGTTTGCACTGCAGATGAAACCAATGTCAGTATAGTGCTTAACCTTAAACTTTATTGATGCTGTTAAAATGAAAAACAAAAAAGAAAACTAAACATAAATATACAACAGACTATAAGTATCAATAAAGAACATAGGCGTATCTAGTCCCATTTTTTCTTCATTGAAGTCAACGAGCCAAATCCAATGCTTATTCTCTATATTACATTTAGATATAAATTGCAAACCATAGTTGGCAGCACAAACATATTTCTCATCTTACTTGACCCTGACAAAGCACCAACTCCTTAACTCAAAACAAAACACGGGTGTAAAACATGAACGCCGACAATCATTTTCCAAGTATTTGAAATTCAAGAAAAAACCAAAATACGAGCAAAACAAAGCATATTTAGAATCAAAACAGTACTCAAATTTGACAGCACATCATCACCGTAGAGTTGAATCGTGATGAAATTCTAGTACAACAGACATATTATAAAGTAAACAGAAAATTGGCATCCATTGTTTCCTGGTTGATACATGTTGAAGGATATAATTGATGGAACAAGGTACAATAATTGCCGAGTCTTTTGTGATGGAAAAAAATATATTCTACAGAGCAGAATCAGTACACCAAATACCAGCAAGCAAAGCAAAATAATGCCATGTGCCAACACAGAAACTAAAACAAAACGAGGACATAATACGGAAAATTTCCAGCAAGGCATATCCGAACAAAAGAATGCAGCTTCAAACCCCACCCAGAAAACACCTTAGAAATCTTTTATCCCCAATCTGACCAAATGAAAACCTAACACAGGGATTCCCAATACAAATTCAACAAACCAACTTTATCAAGATAAAAACTTTCAAGAATCCCAATTAGCAGAAACCCATAACTTTAAAAACCCATCAATCAAAACAGAATTATACATGAACCCCAAGAAAAAGATTGAAAATTTGCAATGGACCTGGCACTTGGAGCCCTCCTGGGGACCTCAGGTTCAAGCTCAACAGGCAAACCAAGAAACCCATTGAACCGATCAAAGGTGACATGGGCAACATGCCTGACATTCGAAGGCCACCCAATCTCCATGGAAGAAAGCTTCCCTCTTGCACTATCTGCACTATTACTACTACTGCAACCAATCAAAGACCTCCTGAAAGCAGTGACCAAAAGGGTCAGAAGCGAAAGCTGATCCCCTTCTCTGTCCCTCTCCTTCCTATTCCTCTCTTCTTCCTCTTCGTCTTCGCTTTCGTCTTCCTCTTCTTCCTCCGAACCCAAATACCCATGGAGGGTGTCCTCTAAAAAGGCATGTGGGTATGGTGAGTCATTGGGTGTAGGTGAAGCAGCAGCACATGGAGTGGAAGAGCTTGAAGAGGAAGGGAAGTGAGATGGGGACGGCGATTGGAGGACCTCGGTCATGTTTTGGAGGAAAATGAAGTAGTCTTTTGGTGATGATTGTAGGGTTAATTAATTGGGTTTTTGACTAAATTTGAGACTCTGGGAAGACCCATAATTGGATTGTGAAATGTTTGGAGTTGGAGTTGGATTCAAGGAAAGGTTCTGGAGGAGGCGGGTGAGACGTGACTGTCATCACTTTTCATGATTTTTCTCCGTTCTTTTAATACCTGTCTTTGATGCTAACTCAAGGATGGGAGGAGTTTAGAGAGAGAGAGAGAGAGAGAGAGACTAGGAGGAGAGAGAAGGGGAGATTGAGTGGTAGGTTGAGAGATGGGGATGGAGATGAGTAGAGAGAGAAACAGAGGAGAGAGAGAGAGAGGATATTGAATTGTTTACTGTTATGGAGGTATAGATTTGCAGGAATAGAAGGAAAAAGAAAGGAGAAGGAGGTGGGGTGGTGGTGGTGTTTCCACTTCACAGCAAAGTCATCCAAATATATATTATCTGGATTTTGTTGCTGTTGCTGTAGCTAAAGATTTATTATGGGCAATATGAAAGGCTTTGAGTTTCTCTCGTAACAGCGATTTGATCTTTCCATTGTTCTCTGGTAGCCAATCAACTTTTGACCCTTAAGCTTTTCCATTTTCCTTTGGGAATTTTATGCAACATTTGATGTCGGTATTCCAAATTAACAGTGCGCTAACGAATAAAGAATTAAAACATCACGTATGATTGATTTAATATCGTTATGATGACAATTATGTGCCTCTCCCCATCTCCTCCTCATGTATACAAGGAAAAGACTTGGCTCCTCTCAAGATACCTTGTGGTTAATTCACAGAATTTCATTTTCATGATTAGATCCGTGCATATTCTAAATCACTGTTGCGATCATTTGTGCAAAAAATCAAAATAATATGAGATCGTTTAGTAATTAAACTGTATAAAAATATATGAACGGATTCGATAAAAGTATTACAAACCATCTATCTATTTGCAAATTATGGATTAAAAAATATTAGTTTTAATTGATTGTTAGCATACATGATTTGTATAGAGTAATTGATAATATAAATAATTATGATCATAAATACGAAATTCCATAAATCAGTTATAAAATATCTTAAGCAGTAACTCAATCCTCAATCTTAAGAAACCAAGCTTTTCTCTGGTAACAATTAAAGAGAGCACTATACTAACCTTCAAATTAGGGAGTCCTTAGCCGATTGTGATTTTCACACCTGTTATTTTATTTCTTTTGCACTTTTCTCTTGTTTTATATCTCTTCATTTTTTATTTAGTCTAAAAGCTACAAAAAAAAACATGAACAATGGTGAAGGAAAAAGCTAGAAACAAAATGAAGAGTGCGGAGGAGAAAAATAGAGTGCGAAAACTTTTCATTTTGTGGATATCCCCTGCAGTATTGTTGCCCGCAGTAGAGTTTAACCATCAAATTTGGGATGGATTGGTGTGGTTCCTTTACGCCTAAGACACCAAAATGTTGACACATGAACGAAAAAAGACATGAGAGAAAAACATATTGGCTAGTGAATGTGAGGCCTAAATTCTTAAGAGGGGGGACACCAAAGGCCTCTCCCCTTCCATCCCTTGGATAGATAGAGAAGAGAACAAAGCTTTTGGTTTGTCGTTATTGTGGGTGGATTTAAGCATTTATTCAAGAAGACTTAAGTAGTTATGTTCTTGAGTTAAAGAATGTAAAAATGGTTAAAAGTGTTTAATGTACTTAAAATTATTCGTTTTTTAAATTTCTAGTATGATAAAGGTGTAAGGAAATGGTATCGTACTAGTTTATGGAGGTAATTATGAAATCACATTCTTACCAACTTGATCCCATTTAAGGTTAGTTATGAAAATGGAGGCCATAAGTCTTACTCGAGATTAAAAAAAAATTAAGGCAATTGACATGCATATTTGTTTGTTGGGACTTTTTGGGAGCATTTAACGACTTTTGTTTTGTAGTTTAAGGTGGAATGACAGTTAATAATAGCATGTTTTATCTGCTAAACCATGTTGACAAACTAACAAACATTTGCTAAACCAAGTTTATGCTCAAAATCAAATGAATGTGAAAGGCAAATGAAAGGCAGTTAACATCAAAGTTAGGGGATTTCATTTTTTAATACGAACGATAAGATAATTACAATAAATTCATTTCAGTTACGAAGAGGAGATATAGATCACTAATCATACTGCTCTAATCAACTTGGTTAAACTCAAATATCTTTCTCCATCTACTTTTTAACCAACTTGGTTAAACTCGTGTATAACTCCTCGTCTACTTTCACTTGCGTTTCCTCTCGTCTTTTACTAAAAACGAAAACCGAAATGGTCACCAAACATGCATCAAATGTAGCAAAAGCCCAAACTGCATTAAGGATGTAGGCAAAGCAAGAACAAAGCACATGTGGATAAAGGGAAAATTGACTACTACTGGTATAATTTTCTGCTTTCAATCCAAGCTCGATCGACATTTTAGTTGCCGTTGGCGTTGGCTTTGTGAAAGAAAATGCAAATACCAAACAAAAGTTGGAAACACAGAAGAAAAAGTGAGGAAGGAAAAGCAGAGCTAGCTAGTTGCTGTCGAGGCGGTCGAGCCGTTTTTATCAGACTGCAAAAGAAGCTTTAAAACTTGCAGGAAGGAGCAAAACAGATAGCCGTTGCCTCTTTCAAATTCAAAAATAACAACCGTTAGTGGCTTCTTTCATGCTCGCAAAACCTTTTGCTTCTACAAAGAGGGGATTTTCCAGGTCATCGTCAGGACCAAATGTTGTATTGCTTCAATACAACACGGAATCTAGTTAATCTCAGGAGTGGACATGTTTCGGTTTGGTCTAATTACCCTAATGAAACCACAAACCGCACCGTAGAATATGACCAATTTCATTCGGTTAGGTTTTGCTCGAAAGATTCATTTGGGTTGGTTCGGTTCAATTTGAGCTGATTTGATTTCTATTCTCGAGTTTTGCACAGCATATTAAAAGAAGCCGACATAGGCCAACATTTTCTTTTGGGTAAAGCTAAAGAGATCATCTACATGAACATATTTTGTATGTCATACGATGTGACGTTTGATGGTTGGATTTTTTTAAATCATCAAAGAAAGAATCCAACCATCAACCTATATAGTTCACAAAATATGGTCCAAACACTAAGACACAGACACACAGACACATGTAACTGGTCCAGTCCAATTCAGCTCGAATTAATGAGCCAAAATCACATCACCCAAACCGAGCCTAACCAGTCCGGTTCAACTTTGGGAGGTTTGCGGTTTTTTGGCCAACAACGAGACCAAATTTATGTGTTCAAACCTCATTACAAATGCATTTAGTTTTAACGATAATGACAAAATAAAGGGTAAAATAAATAATACCAAATTTGACTTTTTAATGTAAAAATATGATTTTTCGTTAAAGTGAACAGTATCACGAACTTTTCGTTAAACTCCCCTTAGTAAAAGCTGTTTACAACAAAACTAGAGGATGATCAAGCTTGATCAGTCTAAAGCTTCCAAAACAAATAGTAAAGTTTTCTCATTCAACAGCCATTCCGGGATCAAAATAGACCCCGTTGCCTACTTCCGAAGTTCGACATGCATATCAAGACACCATCCAACCAGACTGATATATGTGCAAAATATGAGCTAACTCAGTAGCTCGTCAACAAATAAGACCTCGTCCCAATTCAACTGCAGGGGATGCGGGAAGCACGCAGCTGTAGTAGCTCATTTACACAAGTCTAGAAAGTAGAAATTGGCAAAGAGAATAAGTCAAAGTGAGTCATTCAATCGACGTCCAAGCTGACATGTACATTGTACATTATCACAAGGCAACTAACTGGTATTCCATAACAACCAACACAAGTACATATTACCGAAAGAAAATACATCTAACTCGAAGAATGCAAAGCCGGAATCATCACTGCATTTTAGCCACTGGTTCTAGTGCTTCAACTGTAACCACACTATTGCCTCGGATCACCTGCAGAAACAAAAGTAAGAATTAAGCAACCAACTTAATCAATGGAACATGTGGCAAATGGCAGTGCAACTATAAAACTAACAAAGAAAAGAGGAGAAAACTAGGACTTACCACCATGCCAATTTCATTCTTTTCATTGCCGTTCACTTCTACGGTGTTGTCCACAACCAGGTTCATGAACTGGTCAAAACCACGGAGGGTACCAACAACCATGCGATTAGCATTCAGCTTGACTGCAATCCAAGACATCAGTTACTTCAGCCCTTTAAAGTTTCTCATAACGTTAAAGAGAAGAAAATTACAGATTCCAATAGTATCAAAAAAATTGTTTCTGCACATGTAAGACATAAAGGTTTGACCTTCTACCATTTCCCCCCCAAATTTCAACTACTTCTCTACAAACCACTCCTAAATAGGAAAAATTTAGCGAAGTTAGAGGGGCAAGTTATAACTTGATTTTCACACAACGATCCCAGAACATCTAGAGTTAAAAAAAATTTAAAAATATCCAAAATGCCCGGTGAGTTTAAAGAGGAGCCAGAAGCCCGAAACAACTCATTCATCATATAACGCAAGGAAAACAACTAATAAACCCATACAAAAAAAGGGCAGATCCTTTCCAACTAATACAAATACATCTTTATGTGCTCACTCAGATGGACTGTGCATATGCAGCAAAGAGTGTCCCTACTTCACTAAAAATGTACAAGAATAAACAGATTCCGATTCCAATAAATTCGCATATTAAGCAGACAAAAACATTGAATCCGAAATTATGGTTAACAGTCCGAAATCATGACATTCAGTAACAAATTACTGCCAAAGAAAAAATCTAAACCTATAATCTCTAAAAAGGATGGGACACATATCAAAACGATGCGAACATAAGAATACGAATATTGGTATTATGGCAGTATGGTTTCTGAAAAGCAAGGTTTCCGTCATGTTAAAGAGTTTCACCAACAAATCAAAACATAATCGATTCGGCATAGTGCCTAATGCCTATTCAATTTCCACTAAACAGTTAATACCCAGATAACCTAACCATAATACGAACTTTAACAGTTAAATTCAGCTAATTTTTCCAGCAACCAAACAAGAATACAAATCCAGCAGTAAAGAGAAAAAATTGGGGAGAAACTGCATCCAAAACTTACTTTGGAGCTTTTTGTCCATGTACCTATTGAAAAAAAAAAAGCAACAAATTCCAATTAATTAGCATCCTAATTCATAAAACAATTCAAAAAAAAAAAAAAAACTACAGCAGAAAATCGGAACGACGAAATCGAGTATTCGAGACAGAACAGAAAAAAAAAATTACTTTTTCAGATCCGGAGGCTGGCCTGATCTGCTCATGGCGAGGAACTTGAGAGAGAGAGTGAGGTTTTGGGAGACTGAGTCGACTACTGCAAAAACCCTAGCGAGTGAAATTTCTGATCTCTCCGGTTTCTTTAGAAATGGAAACGGGGTTTGTTTGAGAGGTGGGCCCATAAAAACTCAGTAGCGGACACTTGGCCCAATCAAGCCCAATAATTGAAACATACAAAAAACATAAAAGGGGGTGTTGCGAGAATCGAACTCACGACCTCTCGCACCCGAAGCGAGAATCATACCACTAGACCAAACACCCGTTGATGATAATGGCCCGGTAAACAAATTCTTGTGCGCAAGATAACTGATGAATCATTGTGGAAATTTAACTTTTTTTTTTCCAGTTGAATTTATACAAAATTAATGGCAAATTGCTTTTGACAAATTATTGCATATTAAACAATACTCTAATGCTCGCTAGAGGTTTATATGGATTAAAAATATTGATTCATTACTTGAGGTTGTGTTTCCGGCTCCTCTCCCATAATATTTTAAATAAGGAATTTACATGAAAAGAAAAATTGTCAACTGTCGACTACTTGACGCACTCTTTCTCCTCTTTCATTCGGACTTGAGACTAGCACTGTAAAATTAACGTACACAAACGAATTTTCTCTTAATATTTCGAATGCTAAAGGAAAATATTATTCTAGTGACAAGAGAGTGGAAATAATAATTTTTGAGTTGAGAATCAAAAGAAGGATTGTGAACCCAACAATTGCTGCGTTACTTTCAATATCAATGCAAATGGGAGAAAGCAAATCGACAAGCCTAGGTCTCCGATAAGCCTATTTGAACTACAAGACTTTGGGTGAAAGTAAAACGACAATCGGGTTTACCCTACATTTTTGTCTCCACAAAAATAATTGGACTTGACAAGAACGAACATTTTTATTCATCTATTCACTTCTCATCTCACTGATCATGTAACTAAGAAAAAGTTGTTTATCCAATTATCTGCATGCATCAAGCATATTTTCACGACTTAGAGAAATTTTTGTGTCTGTCAGCTGTGCTTGTTCAGGTCCAAATAATTCGTAAATACGTTGAAACTCATTTGTTTATAAGTGGATCGAATAGTCTACACTATGCCATTGTCGAACATAAGAATTTTTCCATTCCTCGACACTGACACTTGTGTATTAATAAATTCCTTTGGTCGAATTTGATTTTTCAAAAGGTGTCTGTCAAGGGAGTACACTTATTAGCTACAAATAAGCCCAAATAAACACAAAGTCTTGACCACCCTATGTCCCTTTATCATGTCTCCTAGTGAGTGGAGTTGCACCATAACTTCCATGTCAACCATGCCTTTCTTTTCTTAGAGGCAAATGCCGGCCATGCTTTCTTTTTTTGTTTGTTTGCCTATAACTTGAGACTTTCTTTATTCTTTGCTCCTCACACGTTTCAATCAAAATTGACAATCGTAATAGTTAGGGCATCCCTCTTTTCACTTCCATCCACTACTTCTTGTTACTAATAACCGCTTACTTGTGATGGCACTATTATCGCAGTGGATCAAATCTAACAGTGATTGTATCTTCATACACGAAATCCAAAGATGCAACATCCAATTCAATTTTAAGGAAAAGGGTCACTTTAGAAGTTGTTAAGACATGCATGCCAAGAAAATCATGTCGAAAGAAACAACTACCTGATTCACATATTCTTTTCTGCTACTACTTCTTGGAAAGTTTATGCTCTCCATTTGACAACAATTGAGCCCGGAAGCCTAGAGGTTGCCCAGAACCAGAGGGATTGGTATTAACAATGGGGTGAATTGTGAATTTGGACCAGCGAACTGTAGGTCCAAAAGAAGCCCCAGGCACCGAAGGTTGCCAAACCAAAGCCAGGTTGGGATTGTTACCGTCGTCGGTTCCGATTTTGACAAGAACGGCGGCCGTTTATGACTATCGTAAATGGTAATCACATGCTCATCATTCTCATCAAGCCCCTCAACTCGGCTGGGCAATCATTCGCCACCCTCAATATCAAAAACATAAATCCCAGGAACATCCTCGTCCTCGTTTATAGGCTTACAACTCGAATACACACAAAAGGTAGCGGTCTTTGTAAGGGACCACGCCACTCCAGGACCACACACCACAAATCCTGCGGCCGCCCTCAACAGCCTCCCACGTGCGAGATTCCGGAACGTAAGGTTCTAAAATACGCTAGGCGTTAGTTGGCGACGGACTGAGACTTAGCGTCTAGGTGGATTTATGTAAATCAACTATATTTCATATAAATAAGTATCTATTTATACTTAAAATATATGTAATTTCATTAAAAACTAAATGACATATATATTATGAAGTATTAGAACATAATGAAAATATGGGGAACAAACTGTTGACCCTAGAAACTACCAAGCCTACGTGGCGCCCAGGCCGAGTAATCTATAAGCTAACTACGTCCTTTGGTGATTGCGGGGTGTGCCAACTCGTCGGCCGAGCTCGGCCGAGGAGTAAATTTGTTGATGTTGCGTTGGGTGCGCGGCTGACTTCTGCGTCTTGCGATTGCGGCCGAGAAAGGAACACGTCTCGGCCTCTTGGGCTCTCGAACCTGAAGACAAGGTTACTATTTTTACGAAGTTCAATATCAAATTCGGCTTTCAACGTGCCGAATGTATTCACTTGTAACACCTCACTTCGCCGAGAAGGCTGATGAGATGACCTCGACCAATAAGGATTCAGAAATCCTTCTCGACCGAGACTCGGATAGGTAACCAATCGTTCTCGCCGCAGTGCTGTTGATGCCAACGGAATATACTGCGAGACCGACTGATTCTATGGTGACAGAGCTATCTATGCCGACTTAAGATATCACCGGTTGCTTCCACAGTGCTGTTGATGCCAACGGAAGATGTGTCAGCGAAAAAGAAAAAAGAAAAATCACAAGCTGTGAGAATTTGCGCAGGGCAATTTTGTATTGATTTGCAGGGGTCCTGAAACGATGCACAGCCTCTCCTATTTATAGCAACGGCTCTCTTTGAATCCGAGTTAAAACCCTACTCGGACTAGGTCTTCTCTCCGGATCAACACCAACTCGACCAGTCCTATTTCCACTAAGATTGTGAACTTAGTCCTTAACCGAGCCGGATTCGCTTCCGGGTTATTAATCATGCCGAGACTCCCTATTGCACTAGGACTCGACTTGTTTTGCATTATGACCTAGCCGACCTAGGTTTGGAGGCCCACGTACTGAACGATCCATGCCGCAAGGCCTTCCAGGCAGAGAATGATTCTTTACTCGGCCCAAACTATTATTTTGGGCCCAAACATTGCCCCCCAGTTTCCTTGAGCTTCGGCCTGTAGGCCGAATGGTTAAGGAAATTAGCTCAATCGAAGAAATGTACGGTTGAGGAGTCCACTTCATAGCTTGACACGTCTTGAATATGATCAAAGAAGTAATAATCTTGGTAGCTCGGCCTTTCAGGTCGAAAAAAAAAATCATTTAGGCCGAGGTCGAGGAAAGTTATGTATGCTTGGCGGGCCGAGAAACACCAAAATAATTTTTGTATCGCCGAGAAGCTTTAATAATTTTTTACTCGACCAAATCTCCTCGGTCATGCTAAGCAGCATTAACAATAACTTGTCGTGGTGATTCTTGATTGTAAGTAACTCGCCGAAGAGGCATTGGGCCGAGGCCGAGAAAATCTTGGCCGAGGTCAAGCAGAATTCCTGAGCAGTTCGGCCTACCCCAAGAAAGGATGCAGCAAAAGTGGACATCATGCACCAGATCACCACCAAAAAGTAGCCTATCTTTTAGCTATTATAAAGGGAATAGTGGAAATGTGACGTCCGAACTTCTTCTTCTTTTTTTTTTTTTTTTTTTTTTTTTTACATATATATATATATGTTTTGACCGAGGCTTTGTTTCGTAATGGGGCCGAGGCCGAGGCTTTTGTAAGCAAAGTTCACAAATAAATGCATTCGGCCAAAATAGTCAAACAAGTGTATTTGACCAAATTTTTTTTTTATTCTGCCAGAATGTTGTTGCCCCCTTATTTTCTTATGCATCGGCTTGCATAGCCGTATGTTTAAGAAAATAATATATATATATATATATATATATAACAAACGAAAAGAAAAGTGGCCGAACCATAGTTAGGAGGAGGCCAACGATGCTTTATTCCAAGTCGAGATCTTGTAATAACAAAATCTGCAAATTGATTTCGCTCTAACCCGAATAACTAATTTCCTCCAAATATTTTTGACTCGATGAAATATTTTTCATTCTCGGCCGCCGAATGTGTTGAACAATTATTATGCCCCCCAGGCATAATTTCGGCTTTTAACTCAAATAACTTGGCCGAACGGGGCTTCTCCGTATCGGCTTTATCGCCAATAATCATATCAATTGGCATAGTTTCGGCTTCTAAGATCACGTCTCCAATTACCATATCAATTGATGTGGTTTTTTCGTCTAAAGCCGTGTATCGGCCTTGTTCAGCATTGGAACATTCCTTCGACGAATCATTTTCCGAGTCGATTTTTGGCTCGAAAACTTCAACTTTTTCTTCTAGGCCTACCACACTTTGAGTCTCGACCGAAACAACAGGTGGCCTAAGTATTTCTTCGGTCGCCTTAACAATTTTTTGAGGCTGAATTTTGATTGTGGCTGGAGCGAAAAATTGCCCCCCGGCCTTTGGACCTAACCATTTTTCAAATGGAATTGATCTGTAATCAGAAACGTAAGGAAAACGTTCCTCATCTAGCCAGACATTAAATCGAGCCCTGTCTTCATTTACCCATTGCTCTTGCAAGGTAACAAGAGCTTTTATTCTCAACATGTAAACAAATGACTTTTGCATCTCTTTATAGCCACGAAGAATTTTTTCCACTTCCAGAGATCTTTTACATTCCTCATTTTGTTTTTTCAATTCCTCTAGGAGCTCGTACAATCAGCTACGTTGAGCCAGATTGGAATCTTGATATAGCATATGAACTTCGTAGTATTAGCACTGGGTCCCACTGGGCGTGCCAAAATGTTGACCCTAGAAACTACCAAGCCTACGTGGCGCGCAGGCCGAGTAATCTATAAGCTAACTACGTCCTTTGGTGATTGTGGGGTGTGCCAACTCGTCGGCCGAGGAGTAAA